TTCAAATTGTCAAAACGTTATGTATTGTAAACCACAACATTCAATCTACGACTTTTAACAATTTAACCGCAAACGAATTTTTAATTCCACTTACAAAATCACCAGTTGTCCCTGTAGAACCGATCGATTTCATCCACATCATCACATACATGCCGCAATCATATCTGTTATAAAATTTGAAAACCACACATATCAATTATGAAACCTACATAAATTAAGCATTCTATTTATGATAACATCTCATACCCATTCAATTGCTTATTCTTCTTATGCTCCATAAATTTGAAATTTTTCAAGGGGAAATTTCCTAGATATCCACAATATTCTACCCAAATGTGTTTCTTATTATAAATATCTAATATTTTAATCTGCATCAAAAAATATGATGTTATAATCCAAACAAATTATGCATTATAATTTACATAATGTCATTTCATACATACATACATACCAACCAATCTCTTAGCATCCTTCACTATCTGTTTAGCTGCTTTAGATGTAAACAGACTATCATATATTGTTGCAACACGATCTACCATATCCAACACCAACAGATACCAATGTGAATTAAGGTAGTTTATTGTGATCATGATCTGCAACAAATTTCACACCCAATTTGACAAAATTCAACATTCTATATCCGATAACATCATTTGCAATTTGTATGGTGTCTTACCTTCTTATAGTCGGTGAATTTCACATAGTTATCCAATATGGGACCCCAAAAGGTAGCAATACTCTCAACACTTTCTTTGTTGTTAGCATCCAACGCCTGTTGCTGCAATTACGCAACAATCATTATTAATTTACCGACTATAACACTACTTTTCAACATTTATTAATTTAACTCACGGCTAAGTAGTATGGAAGGTAGCCAATCCTCAGGAGTGACTTTTTCGAATCGTAGAATACTATCCAGGCGAGCAAATCAATAACCTAACAAAATTAATTACACAATCAGAATATATTTAATAGGTTTTAACATTTTGTACTTTCTACTTACCACATCGCTAACCCATTCCGTAGGCTTCAACGTTGCAACGTCGTATACACTAGCGAATTGATTTCCCATTGAGATTACAGAATATCTGTATGAATCATTAGGATTAATATCTTGTCATGAAATATTTAATTATCACTCACTAAGCAATATATTTCACTTACCCCGATTCTAACCCACTATTATATAAATAATCACAAATTACAGCTTCGATGTCATCAATTCCGCTTGGAATATCCGCTTTTTCAACCTACAATTTTGCATACAAATTTTTGTCACAACAACATGATAAAGATCAAATTAAGTTTTCTTTTATTCAACTTACCTTCTGCTTCTTCTTCTTCTTCTTGGGTGCAGGAGATTCCGAATCCAAATCTGCATCTATAACACTCTCCGGTGTATAGATCACATCGACATCTTTTCTCCTCATTTCCTTCATCTTTTCTTCTTCCTCCCTCTTTTCTTCTTCATATTTTTTCAGTTCATCGTATTTTGCTCTACATAGCTCTTCATCTCTTTTATTTCACCCTTCAATTTTTCCCCTTCATCCAAGTATTGATCAACCACCCCTTTCACCCTGTAATTTCACTCCTCAATTCCACAACTTCCTTCACCACTCCATCAATTTTTTCACTTGTCACCATCTTAAGATCACCCTTTAACACCTCAACTTCTTTCACCACTTCACCCCTCAACACCTCTACTTCTTTCACCACTCCATCTATTTTTCTGTTCACTATTTTTCCTTTCACTTCCCCCTTATGCCTCTCAAGTGTCTCTTTGACTCTCTCAAGTTTCTCTTCGACTCTCTCAAGTTTCTCTTCGACTCTTGATTTTCTTTGCATGATATCAAATTGGATTTTTTTATAGCAGCCAATTCAGACATCAAAATGTCGAAGTTACTCTGTTTTCCCTCACCGTCATCCCCCAATATAACCATTTCTTCTTTCTTCTCCTCTGCCTCCTCTACCTCCTTGCCAATAACCTTTAAAATTAAATTACAATATTAAGACATTGATTATATTATTAATATTATTTAATTACATTTATTACCCTTTATTGCTTCATCAGTCTATCCAACTTCAACTTCGCCGTCACTCTAACCACCTCTTCTTCCCCCATGCACGGATGCGTGCCACTCTGGTTCTTTCATAAGCCGGCACTGCCTCACAGCCCTACCAAAAATCAAACAGTGCAACCTGCATTTATAATAAAATTTATAATTTTATATAATAACTATACTATCATTTTATATAAAAAATGATAAAAAGTTCTTCAACTCATTTACCTCTAAGATTGCTATGCACCCTTTGAGGTATCTCTGGCTGCCCTTTTAAAGGTGATTATTGATTCAATCAATCTCGAATGGACATATTCAGCCCAATTGAATTCACCCTTCAAGCCTTCATCGCAAATGAGCTTCATATAGTCCTTGTTCGTTGATGTATCACCCGTTGGACAAAGAAAGATCCCGACAAGGTACAATAGAACTCTGGCCTTCAGCTCATCCCCCCCGTAAGATCCACTTTTGATTTTCTCTTCAAGTTCAGCATATGTCACCTTCTACTTCAAACCATATTTGGAGGCAAGTGTTTTCCAGTTCTTACTCTTAGAGACTTCTACAACACTTTTGCCTTCATTTTCTACCCCCAAGATGGCTGCAGCACATGGGATCCTGAGAGGAAATAAAAAATCACCATACTTAGCAATACATTGTTTGACATCAGATTGCGCCATCAAGGATCGACACAATTCCCTCCGAATAGGTCGATCCCTTACTCCTACCAATGATCCAAACCCCATTTCTCACAGCACATTCAACTGACCCTTCTCCTTAAGGTGTTTAATTAATGAATTCACCCTTTTAATGTTGCACCTTGTCAATACTTCCTATATTTTTTAACAATATATAATGTTATAGTTCTTATATATTTTGTATCAACGTATTTACAAGTTTAATGAATACATTCTTTTCATGTGCTTTCCTCCATTCTTTGTATTCTTCACTATCAATCTTTGACTGTGCGATGTAAGGTTCCTTATCAGCATCACTCATCGAATTTCATTTCTCCAACACATCATTTCTCACCTAATATTAAGCATAAACGTTTCTTAATCAATACATTAACGCTAAATAATACTCAATGTCAATTTCAATTTACATACCGAGCCGATGTGTTCGCCACCTTCCTTCATCCTTTGGCATTCGGTCATACTGTCAACATTTAAAATTTGTCATCAATTTAAAGTTCTTAAATACTTTAATCCAATTACCATTTCAACAATAATAACAAAAAGACATTGATACTTACTAGAAGTACATATATCCACCCTTTTGGTTGCTTTCGAGTCTCGGCCTCAATTTCAAAGTCATCTGCGCCACCAACAATTTTTCCACCCATTGACTCCATTTTTCCTTCATATATCAGTTTACGCAAATCAAATCAAATACTTGTTACATACACTTTATTTAATATACAAATATAGATAGCTACTCTTGTGGTAAAACGGTTTTCTTCAAAAGAATTTGAATGACCACTGCAAAATGTGTCGGCACATTTATACATCCAATAATATCATTTTCTACCTATAATATTTAATAAAAGTATCGACATTTATATTTTACCTTGAATATCACTTTCTACCTGTAATCGGTCTCAAATGTTTCTTTACTCCAAAACCCTAAACAACATATAAAAACCCTATTTTCGATTATTGTAATAATAAAAAACTAGGGTTTCAACAACATACTTTTCGATTCGACTGCAGCAACAAACAAACAAACTTCGCTTTAGAAACGCCTTCTGAAATGCAGCAACAATTACGCTTCGATTTCAAAAATTCGTCCGTTCTATCTATTTTCAGAGGATATTTAGCTATGGTCTTTATATTTTCATCGGATATGTTATTTATATTTAATCGATACAACTACAAAAGTGTCGATACTTTTATGTCAGGTGTCGATACTTTCGATAAGATAATTACCTATTTCTTTGAAAGTATCGATAATTTATTACACGTACTTATTAAAGTATCGACACTTTCAATATATCCGGTAGCGATTTACCGGTTTTATCATTTCGATACCTATTTTGTCATTTTTTTACATGTTATATCGTTGTGAATCGATATTTTTTTTAAAGTATCGACACTTTATAGGCGTTAAAACTGCTTCTTTTTTAAATTCACAAAGTGTCAATACTTATATTACAGTATTACCACTTTCAATATATCCGGTAGTAATTTACCGGTTTTATCATTTCGATACCGGTTTTGTCATATTTTTACCTGTTATATCGTTGTGGATCGATACATTTTTATAAAGTATCGACACTTTATAGGCGCTAAAACTGATTCTCTTTTAAATTCACAAAGTGTCGATACTTATATTAAAGTATCGACACTTTCAATATATCCGGTAGTGCTTTACCGGTATTGTTTTTTCGTGACCGATTTTGTCATATTTTTACATGTTATATTGATATGGATCGATACATATTTTATTTGGATCGACACAAACGACAAGTTAAGTTTGCCGGTTGCCAAATATTTTATTATTTCTTAATGATTTAGACCTACTATATTATTATTACTCAACATTTCCGGTATTGCCAAACCGAATTTATTAAATATATTTTAATATATCCGGTAAAACTGTATATTAACCCGTCTTTCTTGAGACAACCAACGATTCGGTAATTGTTAGTTAATGAGTTAATAAACTAAACAAAAAGGTGGAAAAGGGGTCCCATGCAAAGATGATCGGAGACGTAACCTTTACCCAATCATACAAAAAAAAAATTATAAAAGAAAATATTCCATAAAACAACCATCGTTGGTTCATAAACAATCAATTAAAATGTTGAAACAAAAACCAAAAGAAATAAAAATCCATATAGCCACCGTCCAGAAGATCTGACGCAATGGTCAACCTTAATCGCCGCCTCTAAATAAATTTATATATCTGCCGATACCAGACAAGCGTAGCCAGAGAAGAGAAGAGAAGAGAAGAGGGGCATTAATCACCCGATTCTTAAACCCTCTTCTTTTTTTCTTTTTGCTAAACCCCAATTGCTTTCGACAACTGCCTGTCGACATAAAACACTTGCGAGCCTGCGCTCAATCATTGCTCTCTCATCAACTTTCCCACCAGCTCCACTACAGTTGTCGCTCTGATTTCTAAGCTTATAACCAAACAACGCACTTTCTTGTTTCATTGTCTTGTGTTGTGTCATCTTCAACGCTTTTGGCGACCAAACTTTTAATTGTCCATTCATAGCTTTTTGCTTTACTATCTGCTCTGTTCTCATGGAGTTTACTAAATTCTTCAACTTTGCTTCAGTTGTTCTTGTAATTTCAGGTACTGGGTTGGTTTTATCTACTTGGATTTTCAATTAGGTTGCATGGATATGGTAATTATTGGTTTGTTTGTTTTTTGCAGTTTATTTGTTGGCAGGTATGGTTAATTCGATTGGGATCAACTATGGACAAATAGCAGATAATCTTCCACCACCGGAAAACGTAGTGCCGCTGGTGAAATCCATCGGGGCCACCAAAGTTAAACTCTACGATGCGGATCCCAGAGTACTTAGCTCGTTCGCAAACACTGGCGTCGAATTCATCATCGGTTTAGGCAACGAGGATTTAGGGAGGATGCGAGATCCAAACAATGCCCAAGCTTGGGTTAAACAAAACGTGCAAGCTCATTTACCAGACACGAAAATCACCTGCATCTTTGTCGGCAACGAGATTCTCACTTTCAACGACGCTTCTCTCTCCGACAACCTTCTCCCGGCAATGCAAAGCGTTCACACGGCGCTGGTAAACCTCGGACTCGACAAACAAGTGACTGTCACCACCGCACATTCCTTAGCCATCCTTCAAACATCTTCCCCACCTTCAGCCGGAGCATTCCGTGAAGATCTCGTTGATATTTTAAGCCAAACTTTGAACTTTCATCAGAAAACAGGGTCACCTTTTCTGATTAATGCGTATCCGTTCTTTGCTTATAAGGGAAACCCAAAGCAAGTTTCGTTGGATTTTGTTCTATTTCAGCCAAACCAAGGGCTTATCGATCCGGCAACGAATTTGCACTACGACAACATGTTGTACGCTCAAATCGACGCCGTTTACTCAGCTTTAGCTTCGTTGGGTTACAAGAAACTACCGGTTCATATATCGGAAACTGGGTGGCCTTCAAAGGGAGACGAAGATGAAGCCGGAGCAACACCCGATAATGCTGAGAAATACAACGGGAATTTGATTAAATTGATGTCTAAAAACACAGGGTCGCCAATGAGACCGGATTCGGATCTTAATATTTATGTTTTTGCTTTGTTTAACGAGAATATGAAACCAGGACCTACTTCAGAGAGGAATTATGGGTTATTTAAGCCTGATGGAACGCCGGCCTATGCTCTTGGAGTTACTAATAGCAATGATTCGACCTCCGGTGGAAGTATTGGTAATGGGGTGACGACGCCTTTTTCTCCGACGAGTTCTTCCACTGGTTATTTGTCTATCTCTTCAGCGACGGTGAGTTGCTATTGGTAAAGTTGGGAGCTTTTCACGTTTTTACTGTTAAAAGTTCACACTTTTCATTGAATTCTCTTGAAAATAACATGCAGTTGAACGTGAGATTTACTATTCTGGTTTATTCTTCAATTTTTTGTTTGATTGATTGCAGGGAAGATATGAATTCGTCGGGCATGTGTTGATGGCGTCACTGTTGTTGACAAAAATATTGGTGTAGAGAATTTCAAACTTCAAAGCACTTTTTATCGGATATTGAGGAGGGATATCAACTTGGTTGTTAGAGAAAGGTAAAGTTCTTTTCTCTTTGCTTCTACGCTAACAGTGTTATAGGGACTACCACCAAACTTTTATCTACTCTGTCTCCCCGGATAATTGAAAGGTTAAAATACACAAATGGTCACTAATTTATATTAATTTTTACAATTATTACAAAATTTTATAAACTATTATGAAATGGTCCTCATCCTTAACAAAATTTATCATTATTTCATAACATGTAATGATCATTTTGTAATATTTTGATAAGTTCAATGATCATTTTATAACTTTTGAAACTCCAATGGTCATTTTAATATAATTTAGCCCTAATTAAAATTGCAAGTAAAGATATCAAAGGGGGAATATTTACTTCATTAATATGTAGTTTTTATGTTTTACCAGTAAATTAGATAGTATTATATAAATAATTAAGTTTACTAATGGTACACAAAAATATACATTATCACTACATCAAATTTTAATCTTGGAGAAAACATTTTTGAAACTAAAGTAGAGGGACTGAATTTCAAAAGTCTGAGAAAGTATTGAGGATTGAGACATGATTAGACCCTATCGTTTATGAACGCAATTGGATACGGTGGGCGGTGTACTGTTGTATTTGACAACACGATTTGAGTTGGCACTCAAGTTTGATTCTTTTTTCTTTCTTTGCAGAAAAGTTAGGTTTGGTGATTAAGGGGTGTTCAGTAGAGAGGGGCTGCATCTTATAATAGTTGCTAGTGTAGATGATGATTATTAATTTGTTGCATCTTATACAATTATTACTTCAGATTATGATTAGTAATCAATTTACCATCATTGCTTTTACTTTTATAATAAATTTATACGATATTCAATTTGAATTAATAGATTAATTAGTGAGATACTGATATTATAGAAAAAAGATTATAAGAATAAGATTCTAGATAACTCCACGCTTTTCTTCTATTTTACAAGTCAAAGTTCCCAGACACCACTCATTGCAATATTGTAAAGGGAACAGAGGATCTAACAAAATGCGAAACTTTCAAGATTTACATGCATCGTTAAACATTAATAAATATCGAATGGCCTTTGATGATTAATAACTTAATATTAGCAAGCAAACCTAGTGGTACTCTACCCAAAATTTCTTTCAGAGATTAATACAACTGATTGTAATATTCACTCCTAGCCTTTAAATTCCGTCGCTGTGAGTTGGTCCCGTGTGTTTGGTCACCGATGGCTCGCTCGGGTTTTGCTCAGATAAGTAAAACCATCGGTTCATCAAGAAGTATGATGGTGGCTATTGCAGGTGAGGCCGACTGCCTAACATCGAAAGGAGGCAGATCCATAAGCAATAGTATTGAAGAATGCCCTCATCGAGTGCCTTAAGAGACGGAATGACTTTGCGACGCTTCTCCTGCCTCCATCTTGGATTCAGTTCTTACCCTCTTATAGAACAATAGATAAGCAGCTGATGTCTTGATGTCAGGTTCATTGACGGCAGAAACATGACTATCATCAAAATGATACCATCTATTATCGTCAATCAACTGCAAAAGTGGAACATAAAGGTTCAAGTTAAAACACTAGATCATATCAAAGGCAATTCGAAACAACCATCAGCAATCCATGATATTGGAGATGATCAGTAGTTCCAAATTATGAGTAAGGTGTATCTATGGATATTCGGATATACAAATGTCATAAATCTGAATAAAACCCGAATCATGTAGATTTTCACTTTACCTTCGCATAAGCAGTGTAGTGTCCACCCCCTAGACCGCCATAATGGTTGCTGATGGCATATAGCTCATATATATAAGCTTGCCTGTCATTGCTCGTGACATATTTGCTCAAATCAAGATTGTGAACTGGGAAATTCACAAAAGTGTCTATCTTGTTTTTAAGGTATCTACCATAAGTGAAGCGTTTCAAGTGAAAAACAGTAACCTCTGGTAGCATCCATAAGTCCAGTTTTTTTATAGCTTGTCTGTGTTCCTTGCAACGAGGACAATACCTGCATGAATAATTCAAGACATAACATTACGCCGTCAATATTGCTTACAATAAAGTTAGAATCTGCATTTAAACATGTTTTAACCACTTACCACATGTCATCAGGCCCTAGAGGTTCTTCAGTCAAGAAAGCATCTAAACATGACGCTAGAGAGATGGCTTCTTGCCTGGTCTTCTTTGCTGCAAGTCTTGCTTTATGAACCTCTGGAATGTCCTTCAAGTAGGTGGCATCATATAACTCCTGTTCTTTGTCAGCCCAATCTAACACAACCCTTAAGATTTTCCCAGACTCAAACAGGGTATCCTTCTTAAAAGCTTTCAAGGTCGTAAACCTATCATCAGTCAAATGGAGTAGAAGTGATAAGTCTGTGCTTAATGTACCCTCGAGTTCTGCATTTTCAACTGAGACAGCATCAGAATGGCTGCATTTTTCATCAAGACCATCCGAGAGAAAACCATTTTCCTTGCTAACATGAGTCTTAGCTGAAGAAATTTTTATGAAAGGTGACAGTACTCTAGAAACAGCAGTTTCAATATCAGCTCCACTTGGTTGCTCTTCCGCCAAATAAGTAACCAGTGGAGTTCCATAAAGCTCAGTGACACTCTTATGATAATCTGCTTTGGATCTGGAAAGCCCAATATATTTGTTTCAAAATCTTAACCAAAGAAAAAGAGACAAAAAAGGCGAAAAAGACAGCTTATTAAACATATTCACATGACTTTCCCCCTTACTCAAAATACTTGAGCCAGAACATGAGGAAAATTTTCCACACCTCAGTGTATTAACAGATTGATATAAGACTATTTTCCCCGCCCCACCAAACCCTTATTCCAAAAATAAGAAGCCAAAGAAATCTGTTCTCAGTTCCTAGTGCACTGTAAAAATCATGAGTCCTTCCACAGATATATTTGAGCAAATTCATCCCACATGGTATGCACAATCAATGGATGAATTGTGTGGACACAGATGATTGCTAATTAAGAAATAATAATAATAATAACAAGAAGAGGAAGAAGAAGAAGAAGAAGAAGACAATTGCAATGATAGATGAAACTATGAACCCTTAATTGTCCAAAATATCTCAGATAGTAAATCAGATCAAAGGAAACAAATTGCTAGGGGAAAATCCCAATAACTAGAGAGACAAAAGAATGAACTTACTTTTCCTGCCATCGATGAAAAATTACTAGCTTAGTTTTCCCCATCGCATTCTTTTGAAACCGGAATGCCACAATATGTTCATCAACCTTTATCGAAGCCAATGGCTCCAAAGGCATCTCTAGATATCGGTAAATCTTGTTTTCATATACCTGATATTGAAGGTTTACTACTTAAGCCAATCAAGGTAATGTATAATTTAAACAGCTAAAAAATTATGAACCAATTCAAGATATGTTTACCTCTGCAAGCATCAGGTTTTCATCACTCTTCAGACCACATGCAGTACCTAATGCCAAAAGGAGATCTTTACAGAAGCCATTTTTCAGCACAGAGACTGTAAATGGCATTGGTAGACGACTTCCATCACCATAAAACACTATCACTGTCATTGTCCTAGTGATAGTTGAAGGTAGTGGCAATGATAGATACATGAAGGGGTCAAAGGTGATAGAAATCTTGCTGCAAACTGGGCAAACCAGTGTAGATTTATATTGACCCTGAGAGACAAGAGCATTATTAACAATATTCCAATTGTTAGTAACAAAAGGGAAAACCAGCCCAATTTCCCTGCTCAGAAACTATAAGTCATGATGCAAGATGAATGAAAACAATTACATATTACATAAGCAAGGGAAATATTAAACATGAAACCACAAAAGCACTAGACACCTAAAGTCTGGCCTAATATTAAAGAATTGAAAAACTTATATAATGAAAAATATAAAAAAGGCACTTCTAATATTTTTTTCCATAAAAAACTGTAATTGGTCATAAAACTGGCCTAATATTAAAGAATTGAAAAACTTATATAATGAAAAATATAAAAAAGGCACTTCTAATATTTTTTTCCATAAAAAACTGTAATTGGTCATAAAACTGCTTAAATTTCACCGACAACAAATCTAAAATAGTAATTGTATTTCCCAACATAACTTTAAAGAAGACCTTTGTATGCAACTCTAAATCAAAACATTCAGTCAAAATATAAAATATCTCACTTGGCAAACATCCACAATTACCGAGTCATTTCGGGCCTTGTGATTTTTCCAACACTCAGCAGCAACTTCCTCATCAGGACAACCATCAGAATCCTTCATTTCAATATAAGGTTTTTGTTTGACCCGATTTAAGTCTTCATGCAACCCATCCAGTAAGAAAGCCAGAAGTTCCTAAAGGAAAAATGTTCCACCGTTAAAGAAAGCATAAATATGATAGAACTGAATAGATGCAACCCTGAAAAATTATATCTATACTCTATAGATACCATTCAAACAACATTGTAAGTTGCTTTTAGTATAATGCAAAAGATCCATACTCCATACCTAAGCCTTGGAATAATTAGAAGTCAAAGATTAAGACGTAGGATCCTTCAAGAATTCATTACCCTAAGCCTAAACCCTAATCTAATCTGTGCTTAACTTCTCATTTTTCTTCTTTTTTCTTATTATGCACCATTCTTTTACCAAAAGGACAAAGAGACCGAGTCAGAATGCTCCAAGTCATGTCAGACAAGTATTTCGTTACCATACTGGTGTCGTTTCAATGTAATAAAGGTGGTGAACATACTCTAATATCCAACTACTTTATACTACTAAATTCCCAGCAATGAAGAATAAATACTATTCATACACAAGAAAATACTTACTTGAGAATCGTGCTGGTTGTAACCACTAAATTGGGGTGCAAACCGAGAAAGTTTTCCCTTAAATACACGTGGAGCTATAGCAGTTTGCCCTGAGGACCATAATTTTCGTAACAAGTCACCGAATGCAAGAGCAAGCTCTCCCTGAACAAGTAAACTTATTGTTAGAGATTTTGTGGAGTGGTCAACAAGAGACATCAAAATTATCCAACTGAATAAATTCCCAGGGGATTTTGTGTGTTGATCTCAGCACTGTAATCTTTTAAGAAATACTCAACAAGAGGGGGAGTGTGCACTAAACATTGAAGAGCACTATTCATAAAACAGGTATTTCCTAGGTTCTGCAATCCAGCCAACCCCCCCTTCTCTCCTTTTCTAGAAGAGTTATACGCATCCAAACCATCATCCATATCTGTCAATCCAGAGCTTAAGGAACTTCCTGGATACAGATTTGTTGCGTAACCTGAAGAGTGCCCATTGGACAATGTTGACCCACCAGCAATTGTCATGGGTGATCTTGAAGGTTCCAAAGAAACCAAAGCTAGTTCATTTCCTGTAGAATCCATGCCAAGTCCAGAAGAATGACGCCCATCAACTTGCTCCAGAAGGATCTGTGATGTTTCAGCAAACATAAAGGTAAATCGAGACCAATTAGAAATGGGAACAAGAAGGACAACAAAAATATCCTCACATCTTGGTCCATCTGTAAATTGGATTCCTCCACGCTTTTGGCTGAAACAGACAACTGTGCATACTTTCTCTTGTTGAAGTAATCCCAAAGGCGAGTCTAGCAATATAACCAAACATGTAATTCATGTAAACTTATAGAAAAAAATTATTCTGTAGTGTTTATATTAAGAATACATGATTTGAAAGAAAACTATATGCTCACCTTATCCTGCTTTATTCCTTTAAGTGCACAGACCTTCTGGAAAAGCTCAGTTACAGAAGCCTAAACATGACATCCAACCAAAGGAGTTTAGAATCTGCTTGGTCAAACTAAAATAAAATTGCATGATTTCAAGGACACAAAAAAGTAAGACTTCAGAAACCAAAGGCTTTTCCAGATCACTTTAACAATTGGTTTGAAATGGAACTATTTCGAGTTTAGTCTTGGGTTTTAAAACTTACAATTAAAAGACATCAAAACTAAAACTTGTTTAAACAAATTACTTCATTCCATTTGGCTGGCCTGACGAATATTACAAACAAACGGGCAAATCCTCAATCCATGCAAATAAAAGCTGTACCTTTCTGCTTATCCATATAGTTGACTGACTTTCATCCCTGGAATCTATCAACTTAAGACAAAGAGGGTAAACCTCCACATCAAACTTTCGATGGAGAACACCCTGCAAAATCATCTTTCTCGGCAATGCTGGCCCTCCTTGATACCTATTTATGAAAATCGAAAGCAAATTTTAGAAGATATATTCCCAAATAAGTACAGCAAAGATAGGTACATTCAGGTGTATGACATAGAATTAAGTATATAATCTTTGCATGTGTATCCATTTCAATTAAGATGAATAAGCATCGAATTATTACCATTTAAAAGGACTTATAACTCTCTCAAAGGCTTTCAACTATAGATCTTCAAGTTCTTTAGTAACTTGAAAATTATGAGCAAAGGCAAAGCATGTATGTCTATAGGCATGCTAGATATCAATGCAAAAAATTGTAAGAGGTGAAGCATTACCATTCATGAAGCTTTTCCCAAACTCCTTGGGGTACCAAAACATAATCCTGCCCTTCCATTAACATTCTCCGAAGCTGAATCTCATTTTCCTTGCAATCGGTATCATTTCCGTTCTCAACAATGTTAGAGTTGTCAATAGGACCCGGTCTTTCTGCCACGACAGAAAAAGCTCCATTGATATGCCGAGAATCAGAAGATTGGTTCCCAATCAAATTTTCATCAGCGTCTATTCCAACATACCTCTCCCACCTTCGAAACCAGCTGTTAAGGAAAATAAAAAGTACCGTTCATACAATTAATTAATATAAAATGCTTAGAATTAGGCAATTAAGTTAAATAAAAAAATCAAATGCACTTCTTCAAGATCCAGAAAGAAACCAGGGAAAAAAAAAGATAAGGTTGAAATTCGTTTAAAACAGACCTGCTGGAAATTACGAAATACAAGTTGCCTTGTTTCAAATTACGTTCAGATTCGTTTTTTAAATCAGTAATGATCGTTTTTTCTTCTTCGGGCGTGCACGGCAAGCAACTTGTCCCGTTCTCCATCATGAAACCCGAATCCGGAATGGTCATGAACGATGAATAACCATCCCAAACATCAGCCAAATCACAAATTCTATTCAAAGAAAAAAAATCATTAAAAATGAATATTGGGGAGAACCCTAAACAGATCGGGAGAGGGGGTTGGCGGAGGAAAAGAAATTGGACAAACCCAACTTAAGCTTACCGTTCTTTCAACGACCTTGTCTTTTCCTGACTCACTCACTCTTTTATAGGCTTCAAAACAAACAATAAAACGGGAAATTACCCTAATCATAATAGATTCCAAGCCAAAAAAAATTATTTTTTTTTCTCGGTTGTTTTATTCTCCTGTTCAGATTTTGATACGATTTAAGTTTAATTATATTTTAACAAAATAAAGAAAACAGGTTTCTTTAAAGTAATAATAATCCAGTTGTATGGAAAAAAAGTCTACTAATATTCACTCACAAATGTACAACACAAATCGTTCTAAATTAATTGTGACAGAATTCTAAAAAATCAGAAGTACAACGAGAAAAAAAATAATAATTCAGTTGTTAATTACAGAAAAAGATAATTATTTCCCTTTTCACGTCATCTATAATTTTGATAAATAAAAATTACACGCTCACTTCCTTTTCTCCATTTTACTTGTAATTAATTTTGAATTAATCTACAAAAAAATATCATCAAGACTGTATTAGACCATAAAAATATCCGTTGATGTACAGTACTAGTAGTAGAATTACATTTCAATCATACAGACCAACAGGCAGTTACAATTACAAGCCATAGTGAATCGTTGATCTGGCACGAACCCGTTGCCGCACAAAAAGCGATCATTGAATAAAAATACAATACAGAATCATCTCAAAGGATCGGCAGATGGGATACGAGAAACAGAAGAGCACAGTGTCCAAATGTTAAAACTCGAGGCCGTTTCTTCATCTCCAGAAATCAGTTGAAAATCATAACTCTATTCGGTTGAAGTTACATGGACCCTGTTTCATATGAACTTGTTGAGGCCTCGCTTCCCACCGGGCAAGCTCCACTTCCTTGGATATCATCCTCGCTGAACATGCTCTCCTCGCTTGAATTGGAGAAGGGTCCAGCATCATCATCACTGAAATCTACTTTCCTTCTCCTTTGGACATCTTTTATTCCTCTTCCTTGCAAAGCCAGCCGCCTGCGCTTCCTGGCTTTCCTTTTGCCCTTGGGAAACTCTTCTTTCTGTGACTCGAGGCACTTGCTTTCTACCTCCTTCATACTTCTTCCCTTGCTGAATTCGTTATCATCTGAATCTTCAGCATCAGGCTTGCGCCTTTTCTTACTTGAATTAGTCTGGTACACCATAACGTAATTTGGATCTTTAATTAAAGATCAACTATAAGAAAATTCTTTAAAGAACATTACAGTTCACATTGACAGTTCAAACTTTCCAAAAGGCTGGCACTGGCATATATTTTCTATCCTTTTTCTTCAGAACATTTCAGATTTTCATGGGCTAAACCAAAAGGAGAAAGCAAGGAGAATCAACAAGGACAAGATTGCAAGAAATGAGGCAAATTATGATTATTAATCACAAAGTACACACCCCTTATTTCCTCAGGTTAACAGTGGACAAACAAAATAATAAAAGATACTAAGCTGTAACTTATGTGCATACCTTAGGACCACGATCAACTAACTGAGCCCATTCTTGTCGATTTCTTAGGCAATCAAGGACGGCTTGAGAATGACTAGAATATGCATATCGTTCTCCATTATGCTTCCTCAAGCTAGGCCAGTGCTGGGACAGTAGCAGAAAAGAAAGAATAAGAAACAAATTTCCCCCAAGAACTATCAGAAGTAAAAAAACGGAAGAAGGCACATGACAGACAGTAGGCACTTCGCCTGACAGAAGCAACATACCGGCAGTACTGCATTACAAAGTTCATCATATGTCATTCGCCTGCCTTTGCTCATAATGTCATTTATCAAGCCTGGAAATATAAAGGAAGAATATTGTAGATGCTTAACCAGAGAGTAAGCAAATAAACATGAGATTGATCCCAATTCATGAAAATTTTGGCAAATTATACTTCCTCGGAGAGATAGTTACCAGGTAAAGTACGAGGTACCGAACCACGAACTGTGCCTCCATCATCATCAGAGAAATTTCTGGGTGAACTACGTACAAATGGCAAATTTTGTTCATTAGCTTCAGTTGAAGAAGGACCACTGTTTGAGGTTGTGGTGGGTGTGGGATGTACATTCTTGTCATTCCTTTTAGCAGAAAAATCCATGGCAGAACCAAGATCTTGTTTCTGATCATGTGAAGATCGTACTTTATCAGTCCTTTCATGATCGAGCTCACGAGATCCACGGGACCCATCTTTAGATGCATCCTTGTTTTTTCTTCTAGGGACCTAGAAGAACCATTCTTGTCAAAACTTCTTACCAATGCAACCATCACTTAAAAAGGAACTGTAAGTAGGATAAAAAATATCATATAAGGAGGTGCACTTATTACCAAACTGTAATCCTTTCCGCCTGAGCTAGATGCACGCTTCATTAGCATGCTTGTTGCAGTTGCAGATGCCAGCTGAGGAAAACTACCAGTCTGCCGCACACGTGGAACACGAGGGACTCTCGGAGAACTATTAAGTTCTTGATGCAAAAGCAAAGCAAGCTGAAATTGAAAGGGAAACTTTTCGTCAAAGGAAGGTCCTAAAAATTCATTAAAAAATTCGAAAGAGAAGGTATAAACTATCTTATTAAAATATAGCACTTGATCCCACACCTCTTCATCACTCAGTGTAGAGGAATTTGATGTTGCAAAAGGATGTCCTGATGATGCATGAGTAACCTTAGATGTTATCTGGGTACTTGACTGGCTGAACTTTTCACCTTTCTGTGGTAAACCAGAAACCGATGTCTTATTTTGTTGAATGTACGTGGCAGACTGACTTTGCAGTGAACCAGTAGACTCACCAGTGACTGAGGCAACTGAAGTATTCTGCACAAAAGATGCCTTTAAAGATGAGGAAGGCACAGAATCTTTAGATTCAGATATGGTTCTTTTCAAAATGGAAGCATTTGAAGTCCTGCTTTGGTGGTGTGAGACTTTCGAAGTAGAACCAGAAGAGGATTTTGTACGCTCTTTTACTACCTTATGTGATAACTCAAGTCTGTCTTCATCCCTAGGCACATCATCTGTAGCATGATCTTTCTTAATGATGTTATTGTCAGGCATTACTAGTTGCTTTGTGTTATTCTGAGTATCAATTGGTTTAGAGCCATCTGGAATAGACAATATGGGGATTATGGCAGCAGATGATGTGGAAGATGACTTTCCAACACATTCTACCATTTCACGTTGGTTAGACTGTTCTTCAGAGGTTAGAACGTTTATACATGCTTTAGGCTCTTCAGCAGATCTAGGAATATGGTTGGATTCTGAAGACCTTTTCTTCACAGACTCAGAAACTTCTGAACCCTCCAAATCATATTTTAGCAAAGAACAATCGCCAGACAACTCATTTGCTTTATCAGAATGACAATTAGCAACAATTTCTGACTCATAGACCTTTGCCTTACTGTGAGACGATTGTGAATGGCCTCTAACCCTGTCATTCATCTGGGATGTTTCTGATGTCTGATGGAAAGACATCTCAGTATCTTTAGTATCATCAGGATTAGAACGTTTATCAATTAAGAAAACTTTAGAATAGTCATCATTCACTTTTCTTTTCGCCTCAATCTCAGATTTATCAAAACTGTGAGACATGCCTCTGTTAGAATCTTTAAGAATATAATTACCCTGAACCCTCAGGGCAGTACTGGCCAAAACATCAACCTGATGTTCCCGAGGACTTCTTGTAGAACCTTCTAATACACCACCATTTACTTTGTTAATTGCCATTCTATCACCCTGTTGCAAGAATACAAAAGGTTACATAAAATGCAAAGTCAAACCAAAAGCATACCATAAATTCTTGTCAAATAGCCCTCTACTATTTTACACAGAAAAGCACATGGAGTATTTGCATGCAAACTACACGTAATGTGAGTTATGAAAGCCCTGACAACGTCATCACAGAATTGATTTTGATTTTACGTAAACTGACAAAACAAGTACAGATTTGCTTCTATGAAATAAAAGATGGCAGATGGTGGAGGCAGTGATAGTGCCGGTGACACCAACTAATAGCACTATTTTTCTTCTCCCATATACTTTTTTTAATAAAATAATATCCATCGGTTATTACATTAGACAAAAACAAAAATAAACAAAATTGTATTCATGATACCAATGAATGGAAGACATAACAAAGATACCTCTTCTTTAGCAGGAGTTATCCCAGTATATTTGTGCGCTAATGGCAACTGAACAAGATCTTTAGTTTTTGGAGTGCCTGTCATAGCTGTGGGAAATTGATCATCAGCCTTCTCCTCCTTCCCATTGTCTCTAATTGAATTGTGTATAGACAAGACAGAAGATGAGACCTCTAAAGCATGCTCCGTTCCCGATGAGTTGTTCTTAGGCCTTTCCACTGCAGGGTTTAGTGCAAGATTACCATCGGATGTTGGTTCTTGAAGCACATTGTCCTTAAAATTTTTGTTCTTTCCACTCTGAACATCAGTTGTGTAAGACTTTGGAATTCTGTCTTCATAAAATTCCAATTGTTTTGCATCACAGCTGGGTCTAAACACTATTAATAAGAATGCAAAAAAAAGGAACCTGGAGTCAACATGCAGATGCCAACTCTGGTAAAGATGAGGCTCACCGTTACCATTCCTTCCATGTTATGAAACAAGTATTATTGAAGAAATAACTAAATTTCTCATGATTAAAAAATAGAAACATTAATCTCTCCATATGCACATATTATACAGCATTAAATTAATTGCAGAGTAAGTTAAATAACCTTTTGTATGGGGCTGTTCAGCTCTCTTCTTCTCGCACGCCTCTTTCTCAGCAGAACTTCTAGCCTTCTTCCTTGTACTCCTATCTTTGGACAACCCATTCTCATCTTTCTTCTGCTTACTGGAGGGTACCATAACAGGCTGAAGAACACCCCTATCCGTCCTTACTCCATTCTGCCAACGTTTTCCATCCACATCTTCATGCTCACTCTTCTTCCCTTCATTTAAAGCATCCTTCTTGGGATACATCGGAGCAGAAAACACCCTCTCCTTGGACAACGAAAACAGAACACCAGCACCATTATCAGCCAGATTCCCACTCTCAATCTCATTTTGACTACCAGTTCTGTTATCTTCTTTCTTATCATCCCAACAAGGGAATTCCCTATACTGGAAACTGAACTTCTTAGGCACATACCCAGTACACTTCCATAAATCCGGCGTAAAAACCCCAGACAGTCCTCTAAATAAACCAGGATCCCCTCCTGGAACCCCTTGAACATGAACACGTTCTTCCATGGGGATATCAGTCCAAAGCCTAAAGGGCCGCCGTGTAGAACTACTCTCTATCCTAACCGTTTTCGTTGGCAGTTCAACCAACAACTGTGCCACCTCCGTCTCCTCACTGTAGTTACGGTTGCTTTTATTCTTGCACTTATCACAGGCAAACAGCTCTTCTCCCTTGGTGTAACGCGAGCAGCGTGTGTGGACCCAAACGCCGCACTCATCGCACTTCACCATCTCTTCACCATCGTCAAAATTGACACCGCAGATGCAATCCACGGTCCATGAACCATCTCCCCAGTCGTCATGGGGTTCAGCCCGATGCGTTCGGCCTTTCATATTTGTTATCCTAAACCCTAATTAGAAAAAAAATCAAAAAGTCCTAACCTAAAAGTTCCTAAATTCCTGTCCTAACCACCCCAATTCACATTGAACGAAAACTGTTGGGCTAATTTAACATCATTTTCCTATCATTTTTGCCGAAATTGAGTTAAAATTGAGGAACGAGTACCTTGAAACATTAAAACCGTCTGTTGATGCGATGATTCGATACTTTCTCGGCGTTCGCAGGGGTAAACGGCAATTGCTTGTTCCTTCCTTGTGCAGGGTTGGACCGGAACTAAAAGGGTATGAAATAAGAAAAAACTACAACTATGAATTGTTTTGGCGTCCGCCTCTAACTTTCTCTTTCTTTTCTCTTCTGCTTGGCTTCAAAATATCCAAGCCCTTTTTCCATTAGTGGTCCAAGCCCATCCACCCACAACCCAGCGATTTCGTCACCGAAATTATATTATACGGTAAACCAGTAATTAGGGCATTTGAAAATATTTGATTTGATTTATTCATAACAAGATTCTTAACCTTGAGGTCGTGGGAGGCATTTCATAATTTGAAGGTCTCTCACGGAAGATGCTTTCAACCTGGCGTTGGGGGCAGCCTACTATCTTACCTCCCCTTATCCCATTACATATGGGAATAAGAATCATCTAATTTTTTTATTTATTCACGAAAATTCAAAAATATAATTTGATAATATAAGTTAAAAAGTAAAAATATATTATAATAAAAAAAATTATTAAGAGTATAACTTTTTAGGCTAGATAGAATAACATTTTCGATTATAAGCCCTAAACATCGTAATGTAATTTTTCAATTGCAAATGAAAATATTACAAATTTTTATAACATTTTAGATCGAAAATCGTCTTAAATTAATCTTAAATTAGGTTGTCACACAGTATAACTACTTATGTATTCGACTCATCAATCCATAAAATAAATAAATATATTTAAAGAATAAATACATAAATATTATAGATCGAATATTCAACATTAAATAGTATGAGTATACAAATCGGTCGAATTAGATCATAACATTTGTTTAAATGGATATATGATGTAGTCTAATATTAATTTTTTTCCTTTTTTTTAACAATTACTAGTTAGGGAAATAGTGAATGGGAATATTGTTCCTAGTAGGTACTATACTAGCAATCAGGGGAGAGGAGATGTGTCAAGTGAGAGCTTTTAACCATTTGCTCTATAGGTTGTTAATTTCTAAAATTATTATTTGTGAAACAAATAATGTTTCGAACATCATATTTGAAAAATCATACTCACTCTATTAAAAAAAGTTATGCTCATAAATAGTTAAGGCAACATTTGATCGGTATGGAAATAGTTTTCAATAATCTATAGAGTAGGTGGTTAAAAGCTCTGTTAACACCTCATCTCTCCATAGATTATGATTTCAATACTTATTAAGAGTAAAATTCTTCTTCCCCATCCCTTAAGTAGAAATTGTTCAAAAAAATTGTTTTTAAATTATGTGATTTAGATTTTTAAATTTTATGTTTGAGGTTATGCATTTTGACTTTTAAGTTTTATAATTGTCTATGTGTTATTAATATTTATTTATGTGAATATCTATCTATCTTTATTTATAAGATAAGATTTTGATGTACAATATCATTAGATCTCTAATGTACATTAGTATTAGAGTTGTTTATTACATCTATTACTTATGACTATAAATATAGAGGTTAGAGAAAACATTGTACATAACTCATATTGTGATAATAATACAGTTCTCTCTACATATTTTTATATCTATTTTTTCTTGTTTTTCTTATTTTATAACACTATATTAATTTTTTATAAATTATATGGTTTGTAAAAAAATACATAAATTTATCTCATATATTGACTGCCGGAGGTCTTCCACGGAAGCTGCTCTCAACCTGGCAGTGGGGGCAGCCTACTACCCTACCACCTCCTCACCCCATTACATATGGGAATAGGATCAGCTAATTTTATCTCATATACTTGATATTTAAATATCCAATTTTTTTAGTTTGAGATATTGTTCGCTTTTTTAACTATGCAAAAATACTCGAGTAGTTAAAGTTGTGAGTATTTGATTATGAACACTCTTATTTGTGATCATGTAATTATGAGTAAATTTTATTTACACTGTAAATATTTACGAAACCGCTTATAACCTTTTCTCTCGATAGCAGGTATACTGTTTAGGGGTTAGGGGTGGGTTTTGCTAGTTTTGCGTTGGAAATTGCTTGTTTTGAGATAGATTGACGGGGTTAGAGATGGACATTGTTGATTGGAAGAGTTTGTTCTCAGGGGTGAAGGAACAATCTCTTATTTTTTTCCCTCTGTCGTTCACTAAGGGTTCTCTGACTGTGATTCTACCTAGCGATGTATTTTATGAGGGAGTTTCTTAATAGAGACACTTGCTAGTGAGGCAATTTATAGGTTCTACTCCTAATTTTGGATTTATGCAGAAAATTGTGAAGATAATGTGGAGGAAGACCTCGATGGTGAAGGAAAGTTTAGTTGGCCCTAACTTGTATGCGAATAAGTTATCTAGGGATTGGGTTCTTAAAAATAGTCCCTGGCATTTTCAACAGAAGTAGTTGGTCTTGAGAAAATAGGAGCCTAATTTTCAAATGCTTGATTTCGATTTGATGAAGATACCGATCTGGGTTCAGTTGTTCCATGTCCAGTTGGAATTGTGCTAAAAAAAGGTTGAGATATATTTCGTGTGCTTTGAGGAAACCATTGTATATGGATTATTTTACTACAGTGAAAGAATGTTTGGAATATACTAAGGTGTGTATTGAGGTTGAGGCTTGTGCTCGGCTGCTTAAAACTATTGTTGCTCAAATACGAGATGGTTTTACTAGTACGATTAAGGTAATGGTTCCATGGCTCCCCTCTTATTGTTCTAAATGTAAGAAGTTTAGTCATTCGGATAAGCTTTGTATTGAGGAGGATAAGAGGGGAAAAAGAATTGAGAGTGAAGAATGGTTCTGATCCTAATAAAGTTACACAGAATGTAACGTCCTAAATATCGGGCTGATGACTAAAGTGTAAGATTTTAAAATTTCATGATCAATTTAGATAACTTGAAAAGTTTAGGGATTTAATTAGAAATTATTGGTGTAGGTTGATTAGCAATAATTGAAAGATGGAAGGGTATAGTGGTCATTAAACAAGGAAATGAATTAAAAATTAATTAGTAGTGTATTATAAACACGTGGAGAAGAAGAAAAATGAAATATAGAGTTTTCTCATCTTCATCTTTTCTTCCTCCTCTTTACCGTAAGTTCATACCTAAGGTGAGTTTGTCTCAAGTTGATTATTCCTTTCATTTTTAAGTTAGTTCTTGGTCTTTGGGTGTTAAATAGGTTTAAAGAAAGCTTAAGGAAAGCTTAAGATTGATTACAGTTATGAAATAGTAAATTAAAGACGAACTTGTAAAAAAAGGTTTTTGAGTGACTTGATCAGAAATGATTAGTAATTGAATTTGGAAGTTAAATTTGACTTGTCGCCAGTTAGAATAAGAAGTTTAAGCTGTTGGAAAAGAATTTGGTACATGTTGATAAATTGGTATAATTTTTTATTTCAAGTGATCATGTGGGATCTTGGATGTTTAAGTGTGTGTAAGTAATATAAGTTGGTTTTTATAAGAGTATTCGAGTTTAAAGGCCTAAAAGGAGAGTAAAGTGAGAAATTTAGCTGAGTTTTGGTAAATTTCAGGTTGAAATTAGTAAGTTCTAGGCAAGGGGTATTGGTACTGGATGAACAGTACCGATACTTCAAAGTAAAAATAGGTGAAAACTGGGTTTGGGTATCGATACTGGAAGAACAGTATCGATACCATAGATGAAATAGTATGAATCAGAAGAACAATATCGATGCCAAAGGAGTAGCATCGATACGAACGATATCGATACTAATGGATAAGTATCGATACCATTTTTAGAGATGAAATTCCAGAATGTAGAATGGGTATCGATACTGAAGTATAATATTGACACCATAGTGAGGAAGTATCGGTATTGGGCCTGGGGTACCGATACTATTCAGAATGAAATTGTGAATTAAGTGTTTCTTTTAGCTTAAGTTATTGATGATTGATTAATAGTGATTCGGATTATGATATTCATATCGATCGTATATTTGTGTAGATATCAATCAAAAGTAAGTTCTAGACGAATCGACGATATAAGATCGACGAAGAGAGAGATAAGAGTTTTTCTTTGACTAAGTGAGGCTAAGGTGAGTGAATACTACTATATATATTGTCTTATGGAAAGAAGACTTGCAATGAGTATATTTATGATAATTGATTAAAAAACAATGTTTGAAAGTTTATGAAATGATATGATTATATGTTTACATGAATATAAGCACAGTTTTGATTTGTTTACTATGTGAACATGCATTGTTTATATTTTATACTATGTGACATGATCTATGTAATTACATAAAAATGTGATATAATCTATGTGATATTGAATTATGTGATTATATGAAAATGTGATATAAGTTATGTGAATGATCTATGTGATTATTTGTCTATATGATATAAGCTATGTGAAATGGTATAAATGATAAAGCCCAGAAGTATGTGATGTGAGAGCTAAAGGTATAATTGGCATGCTAAGAGTCGAGGGTTCTACGCGGTCCTTCGGGACAATTCTACGTGGTCCTTCGCGACATTTCTATGAAGTCCTTCGGGATATTTGTATGTGGTCCTTTGGGACATTTCTACGTGACACTTTGGTGCATATTCTACACAGTACTTCGGTGCAATTTATATGAGCAGTGGTGAATGCATTAGTGCACAACCTCAATGCACTCATATACCTTAAGTTCTCAATGATATACATTGGGCTATTAAAAGAATAACATAAATGACAGTGCATGATGTTATATGTTCTTGTTTGGTGAAATGTATGAGGGTTTATGTACCCTATGATGTTTATAAAAGTTAAATATATGTGTAACACCCCAACCCGTATCTGAATCAGATACGAATCCGAGATGTCACATTGATTTTTTCAAATCGTTTACTTTTAAAAGATAGTTGAAAATTTAAAACTTTTATTAATATCAAACTGGTAGAACCCTTAATTAAAAATAATTAACAAGTTCAAACTCAATTTGAAAATAAAACTTAATAATTTACATAAATTTAATAAGTATGTTTACAAAATCGGATCAGGGCATATATTATTTAAATATCTAATTACATGTCAACACATTTAATACAACAAAATAACATAATGTATAACTTGTTTTTGATATGATCTTCTTGCTGAGATATGATGCCTTGACTAGTCCTAGCTTTAGTCTTCTTGCTT